CGCGGTATTTAAAAAAAAAATAATTAGTAGCCTATGTGTTCTTCCAGACTATGATCTACATCTTCGTCAAATTTCAGCGAGATCCATACAGCCTTAATCGAGATACCTTCAAACAAACATCCATCCATAAAAAAATTCGCATTTATAATAAAATATTAGTAAGATACAATTACCCACAGAATAAGACACGATAAGATATATATAGGTAAAAATCTAATTTATTATTGCTTATTAAATCTTTGGAAGGAGTGTTCTCGTATTTTTTGTCATACTCAATTTCAATGGTTTCGTATTATCAATAATCCTAACACGGTCTTTCGTGTGTATAATGGCTTGTATAATTAGCTTCTCCATGGTATATATTTTGCGATCTTCATTAGTTTGTTAGGGCAACTTATAATTTTTATTTAAACGCAACGCCTGTGACAAAAAAATTGTTCACAGAAATGTCACTTGTCTTTTAACATGTGAGCCTTTATACGTATAGTCGGATTGAAACGTATTGATAAATGTTGAATTAAATTAATATTTTTCTAAGAAAAATAATAATTGACAAATCAAATCAGTTTTCTGTATATTTAATTATCTAATTATCACCAACGACTATTTTTTATTGTCGTACCGCTATAAATTAAAGGCCACTTTTTCATACTAATACGTAAAGGATTCCGTTAATGACCATCAAATTGGTATAGTAATTAATTCTACTCCTTAATCTTGAAGTTATAGACTCAAAGTATTAACATTTTCTTCCTAATTTTTTCCAATGGCCAATAATCGACAACCCTACTACACCTGATGTCAGTTGTCACGCCACGATCACTGTCAGCCGTTCCAGTCGCCCTCGCAGCTCATTTGACGACTAATTCGATGTTACCAGTCACGCGATCCCCGGGAAAAAGACTTCTTAGAATTTTCCTTACGATTTCTCAGCCTTTAGGGACCTTTATTCGTAACAAAATCGTGCTTATTTAATTACACAGACTCCGTAAAAAGGACGGGTAAAATTATAAGTATTATTAATTTTGATTCCTTTGTTTTATTTGAAATAAAGGCATCTTGGAAACGTCATACTTTTTACTGGCTTCTTTCAATTCTCTGTCTGAAAGAAAAGTCTGTCTGTCTGTCTGTCTGTCGTGTATGTTACGGGTAATCTCCGCAACGGCTGGACCGTATTTGACAGGACTTAGACGAGAAGGTAGCTGAGAGACGCGGGCATTTTGGGCTACTTTTTTAAGTCGCGGCCACTAGTAAGTAATAAATCACGTATCATGCGTTATTAGTATATGCTAACTTCAAATTGCTTTGTTAATAGATACAAAAATTATTGTTCCTATAAATATTAAATCGATTTCTCAGAAGTCGTATTGTATGCAAAATCGATTACAGATATGATTGTGCTCAATTTTATATTCCGATTCCTAATTATAGTTGGATTTGAGATGAAGGCTTATGATTACTGTCCAATCGTATTTAATAGGCATTTACCTTTGATTGAATATACAATGATATGTTCCACTCATCTGCATTTACTATTTGTATGAAGTTAAGGGCCTTTTAAATATATTCTAGATGTTTGAATATATCTATTCTGGTAATCTACTCTCTCTCTCTCTCTCTCCCTCTCTATATCTCGTATTAATTCTTAGTAAAAATATGTTTCTTAAAGACTTTGGATTTCTATACATAATAACAGCTTTACTAAACGTTGGCTTCTGACACAAAATTCCGTTTAAAACTTATTGTTATCTCGCTTTTTGTCAGACATTGACAGGGATGACGATATGTTTTATACATAGATTTTGATGTCAGAAACCAAAGGTAATTTTAACAGTGGCAGAGCCCGCTTTAACATCTACGCACGAATTGGCCCGGCTCTCCCGGTGAAATACCACGACCACTCAGAAGACAGACGTCGAGTGGAAATAATTCCGTGTTTCCTCTGATGAGTGTGCGTCCCGGAGACCTAATTTAATCCTCTTTCCCTTCCCACCCTTTTCTTTTACGGAAAGGATGGGAATTGGAAGTAGACTTTCCGGATGAGAGGATGCATGGGAAGTGAAAATATTTTCTTTCTGTACATCCTCTTCTCCGTCGATTAAATGCATATGCAAAGCACGGCGGCACGGACGGGCAACGGTCACTTCGTTATTTCAGCGATTTCAGGTGGCCGTTTGCTCGTTTGCCACCTTAAGATATAAAAATTTAACGCGGAGTAGAATCGTATGGTTATCCGGCAAGTGGAAATAGACACTAAATGTACTATACACTTCTTAGTATAAACGTATTCTTAAATTGGTTTCTAATTGTAAGAATCGTATGTAGACTAACTATAATGCGGTAGATTTTTATAATAACAAGACTTTGTAAATAGTTAGAAGTAGTGATAACTTAAAGGGTATAGTCGTATGATTGTTTTTTTTTTAAACGAAATGTCCTAATGACAGGACAGAAGTCACGTCTGTTTATAATGCCACGTTATTACATTCGCCGCAATGATATTAAAATTATATTATGGTAAAATGGCGGTCGGGGAATCGAGGGATAAATGGACCGTTTTCGGGGACGGAAATGGTTTTTTTTTTTACTTCAATAGTTTCAAATCGATTGCGTTTATGTCCGTAATAGAGATAATTTTCGGTTTTTGTTACGATTTGAATCATTTGTTTTATATGTATCAAAATTTATACGTACCTGCTGCTTCTGCTTTATTCTGAAAAATTTGAAATGTTTCAATATTGCTAAGCAAATTAAGGAAATAGTTAACACTAGAAATCTTTTAACACTTATTGGCAATATTGGTAGAGGTATAAACATGACGTAATTAGAAAATTGTGCAATAAACATTTATAAAAGACACTTTAGCATTTTCTTCCTACCTCTCTCCAATTTGTTTTTAACTCCTTTTCTTCGTATAAAGCTTAAACACCTACAACATATATTATTATGTGTATTTAAATTTTCTAGTTAAATCCTTTTTGAATTGAGGAATACATTAACGAAATTATTTCGCATATGTTCGATAATAGCTAAGCATATTTACTTGATTTCAACAATAACCTTCAAATTTATCTTTTGTAATGCTTTGTCATTATATTTTTCAAATTACCTTGTCTTTGCTGCTGATGATTTCTGCTGCATTTTAATCACAGGCACTTAATAATTGCATTTATAGAATTAACTTGATAGTTTACTAATAAAACAATGAACATTTAAATAAAACTTAACGTTCCATTTACAAATTACTTGCATTATTCAATTGTGACGTTTAACCACATTTAATTTTATACACAACTGTCAAATGAGTAGTAAAGTTTGACAGTTGTTTTTTTCAGACAGGAACAATTGTAACCGGCCAGTAAGTGCCGAGTGTAAATTTTTGTGTAGAATACGAAGCATTTTTTTCAACCATGTTACTCAATTTCAATTTCAATCAATTTAGTAAGAGCCAATAAAATGATTATTTTGGTGTTGCCAGGAGGATAAATAAAACCAAAGTTCTTTGATAATTTTATATTATATTAAAAAATCTGCATCTGCTAATCAGCGCAATTAGATTCGCTAATCGTTATAATTGCCATTACTAAAACATTCACATAAAACATGACCTCATTTATTTCACAGAAAGACATAGTGAATATGCTTTATTGTTTTTTTCTTAATATACATTTTTACTGTTCATTTAATCAACTAACGCGATGTAATATTTAAGATAACCTCAACCACATTTATACAAAGTAAGTGCGACCACAATACGTCTGATGCGCGGGGGTTACAACCATCTCATTGTATTTTCTCTTGAATTTTATTAAGTTAGCAACAAAATCATAGTATTTTTAGATAGTTTTGTAACGAAGACTTTATTGTATACATTTCTCTTGTGACTAATTGTCAATAAAATCTTGTCTTAGTGCGAGATTAATCAAAAACACAGGATATCACAACTTCCAAACCTGCTCAAAAGCTAAAGTTTTACAACTTAACATGACAAAGTAGATCTCATTGTTATGCCTACGAGCATATATATTTTAATATTTTCGTTAGTAAAGGATACCATAGATGGGTCATTATAATAGGTCGCATTTGACATTAATACAAAATACAACGTAACTTTGTAATGGCGTGCATTAAATATTTTTTATTTGAATTTAGAACTGTACATTTTTTTTTAAATTTCGATTACATATTTCTTGTTTTATCAATAGAATCTCGTTACAATGTTGCGTCAAGGAACACTTTTTCGAAAAAAGTTAAATTGACAGTTGACAGATGTGACCTATTAAATTGACCCTTATGACATTAATAAATGTGGCTTTGGGTAAAATTAAATAACTTTAGCGATACTGTATATACATAAATATATTTATATTGTGGTATGTTATATGATTTACATAATATCTGTATAATTATTTCATTTTAAATTCTGTACAATTTTCAATTAATTTCCTTTTCAGGTAGCAAAATTATCAATATTAAAATTTAATTTACGACTAAATATTATAGAAAACATTTTATTAACTAAATTAATAAAAATAATATTATATTAAATTACATAATTAGTTAATAAAATGTGTAACGGAATGCGATATTTATAGATTTAAGTACCAACTTATACAAAAATTTTGTTAAATCTACAGATTAAATTACTTTTAGCTTAGAACTACATATATAATCTATTTACAATAATTCATAAAGCTTATTTCGTTTACGAAAAAAATCGTAAATGGAATGCATTAGAAGTCTACATAAATATTTACAACACAATTATATTACAATTTTATAGTAACTTATTACTATTTTTTTTAAATAAGGGCTAAAATTTTTCGTTGACTACTCTATGATGTGACCAACCATTGCCTGCATAGAACAGAAAAAGCTCTGTTACTCTTGACTTCTTAAACACCCTTACAATTGCATTAAAAACACAACATTTCAAATATAATTTGAGTCGAATATTTCTTGTATTTATCAAGCAATTTAAATTCCAATTTAGATGGCAGTGACAACTGTTACAATACTCCTTGACTTGTATTATAAAAAGAAATAAAAAAAATCAAATGTCAATTTCAAATTTGGAACTTCAACATATAGGCGAGGCGACGGGCGGCGGATGTGGTGGCGCGCTGGTCGTGGGTGCGTTCAGAAACGCTTGATTCCCCGCCCACGGCTGCAGATTCTGCAAAGCGCTTAAAGCTGTGTTCGCTGGCGGCGCTGATGCTGTACTTGCTGCGTTCTGATAATGAAGCGCTGACAGCGGTGCGGCGCCTGGCGGTGGCTCCGGCATGTAGCCCTTGCTTAGCGCTTCAGCCTGTAGGGAGAGCATCAAGCGGTTAGCCGCTTGCCGTTCAGCTTCCCGCTCCTCGGCAGTTTGACGTCTGGAACAATAATAACATTTATATTAAATTCTATTTCTAAATATTTCTGTCTATATTAAATGTGGCATAGATAACAGTCCCGAACGGCGACGACAATTAGTACACAAATAAGTTTAATTACTATAAATAAAAATTTACTGAGATGCTACTTTAGATCGTTCTTATTTTTATTGGAATATAGATAGCAGATTACGTATGTATACATATTTGTAGGGGTTTTATAGAAAGGTCTACGTAGGATACATATCTCACAGTGACTTTACTAGCCAAATATACATATAAAAACATTAATATAACAAACTCAAGATGGACGACGAAACTGTACCGTTACTTTTAATAGATCATCGTTTAAGCTTGTTAATAATAAATAGCTTCATTAAAACAGTATCCACGTGTTACACGGATGGTTTGTACGCGAGTTAATGGCTGCATTGAATTATGTAGATGTCGCTGAGTGTCCGCTGATCGTGCGGTTAATTATTCAATAGTAATCAGCTTCCGAACTGCGGTACTTCGATACGAATTATTGCAAATATAATAAGAGAGAATTTATTAAACGGATATATAGATAGTTTTAGACTACTTGGTTTGTGGTACTGCTCAACGTAACTGAGTTTGTATGGAATTTATATGGCTAACGATAAATGGTGTCTGATCATACTTTTAGACATAATAATTAGAATCCTTTGGCGTAAATGGCGCTCTTTCGTTACAAAGTCAAGTGGCAGATTGATTAGTGAGGGGACATTAACGTCGACATTTTAGTAAGGCTAGTGTTGCGCCAGTACAACGACACAGTGTCGGATTTTCTTCCTAACAATACTTAGTATCTATACAATGCAAACATTTGACATACATATATAAAGAAAACTAGGATTTTTTAATGGATAAGATATTTGTAAGATTTTTTATGTAATAAAATGGTAGATGAAAAAGTGGCCAGCTGTATTCGCTGGAATAGCAAAATAACAGTTGCCCATAGACAACTATAATTGTAGATTGCGTACCTAGATAACGGAGAATGAAACTTACAGATAGGGGAGATATTCCATTCCTATGCGTCCTATCCTCCGCAAAGTCTGTTAAGTAATATTCAAAACTGAAATTGTAACAGAAAAAGCCAATGAAACCTTTAACTCAACTTTAGAACAACGTTGAAAGATTTCGTTTTCAAACTGATAAAAAAAAACTGATTTTGTCATACTCGCGAATATCTACAGTTACCAGGCGAAATAAAACAAATGCACATCCAAAAGTGGATGGTTTAATTGATGAGCGTGAAACTTTATACTGTCATTGTAGCCTTTATAAAGTACAAATAGGTAAACTTTAGACGATATTAGCTATCACTAAATCGTCTAGTTCGTGAATAATGTACGAGGTTTTAGAGGCATTCGAGGGTTCTAATTTGATTCACGTCAATTAGTATGAACGACGACATGCGAATTAGTTCGTTAGTGTTCGTACTGGCAATTAAACGCTTAAAGTAAATTGACGTTCGAGTTTTGAAAATTGACAGAATTAAAAAAAAATAAGTTGGTTTTTAAGGTTCATAAGAACAAAGATTTAGGCATTATATCAGCAGCTCACTATACGTCCCCACCGAGAGGATCTGAGCCTACCCTAAGTTAAGAGTGACTAGGCCATAGTCAACCACGCTGGCCGAGTGCGGGTTGGTTGACTTCACACATATCTTTGAATTACTTCTCAGATATTTGCAGGTTGCATCACGATGTTTTCCTTCAGCCTAAGAACGTAGGATAAATGTACATATGTAAATTCGAAAGCGGAATACACATTGGTACATGGCAAAGCCTTATAACGAACCAGAAAATGCAACTAAGTTTAGTAATAAAATTAGTTTGTTCTTATCTGCCTGCCAGTATCCGAAAACCCTTAAGTAGAATTGTGATTTGCCTCAACAATTTAATCTTGGCAAATTCAAGTTCGACAAAATTAAAACATTTTGTCGAACTTTCCTGTAGCGAAAATATGGCACATCTTGTTTCCTTCCTATATTCATGGTTTATGGTTATTAATATAACAACTTAACTCTTAGAGACATTAACTTAAAAGGGGTGAACATACTTAGGCTAAGCGAACCTTTTCATTAAATATTAAAAACCTAAAGTAGAAGGCGTTCTTGAACTTTACCTTATCTGAAATTTCTAGTTCAAAATATTTATTAAAAGACACGAAGTAAACCTTTATTTATATATATTTTGTATTAAGATTTTGATACAAATCAGTTAACAAATTATAAAGTCAATATAAAAAAAAAGAATTTTTGACTCAAGATTTTTGAATCAAGTAACTATATTTATACGTTTTTTTTTTAACTTTAATCTTACTAATATTATAAATGCGAATGTTTAGATGGATGGATGGATGTTTGTTACAAGGTACCTCCGAAACGGCTAGACGGATCTTGATGAAATTTGGCACAGATGTAGAACATTGACTGGAAGAACACATAGACTACTAATTAATATTTTTAAATTGCGCGCAGACGGAGCGACGGCTAATTTCATCAATTTTAATTTCAAATGTTACTTGACAGGGTTATGTGAGATTCTTACTCACTAAAACCCCCTCGGTGGCCAACTTCAAATGCGACTACGAGAGTCCCGTGATCTCCAAAGGAACGCACCGGAACTCAACGCATTGGGCTTCTGTACAACTCTAGGAAAATACTTCCTCGTAAATGTTACTTGGACTCGGACTTAAAGTACATTTTGACTGATGTGGACATAATGTTAGCTTGTTATTTTCGTTGTTAATTATTTTTAAAGTAATTCCTCAACAAACATTTAAATAATCAATCGTTATCTGAGGGCTGTTCGTTAATGCCCGTTCCGAAAGGTCGTACGTGACTCATTGTATCTTACTAATTAAGATAGCCACCGACTTACAGAGTGGTCTCTTTAAACATAATTTGCATGTGTAGATATTTTAACATGCTATTAGCATTTAAAGTGACTCTTAAATAAAAGGGATAAGGTATATAATGGTTTAATTAGTGAGCAAATCATATCTGGTTTGCAAATAAAGCTTTTAAGCCCAATCGTTACTGTCCACTGACCTAAAGAGTCGCAATTAAATGTGTATTTTTTATCGTTATCGAAAATTTGAAGTCAATGTCTTATAGTAGATTAAAGATTGAGGTGTTATTTACTGTACTACAGATTACTATATGTAGTATTTAAAAGATGTTTTAATTATTGTGTTAACTAAGTCTTTAAGTAATTAACGCGAGCGACGATAGCTCTATACTATCCCACAATGTTTACAGTGTTTGTTACTCCTTTTGATTTGCAGACTTTGGTACAAACATTTTAATTTATTTCTAGATATTTTAACTACTGCAAAAATGTTTTATATTAAAAATTTTAAAACTAATTTATTTTTTAATTTTATTGTATTTTAAAGGCCATTTCTTAAAAAACAATAAGATATGTATAATATAGATTAATAAATCTATACAATAAGCGATATTTTTCTAGGTAATATTTTACAAATTATAATTTAATTACAAAGCTTCGCGGGTCCTCCTAAAGCTACGCTTTTTAGCAGTTAACAGTTAACAATTAGTTAAATATTGAAATCATCATCATTATCAGCTCACTATACGTCCCCACCGAGGGGCTCTGAGCCTACCCCAGGGTTAGGGGTGACTAGGCCATAGTCAACCACGCTGGCCAAGTGCTTCACGCTTGACTTCAAACATATCTTTGAATTTCTTCTCAGATATGTGCAGGTTGCTTCACGATGTTTTCCTTCACCGTAAGAACGTCGGATAAATGTACATATGTAAATCGGAAATCGAAAAACATATTAGTACATTGCGGGATTCGATCCCAGGACCTGCAGATTGTAAGTCAAGTGTTTGACCCCTGAGCCACCGACGCTCTGATTGAAATCACAGATGGATATATTTCGATTTATTAGACAATTACATTTAGTCCAATTTAATTCTTCAACGGAATTTTAATTCGGCATAGTTTAATATTTCACGTTTGAAAAAGCATAAGAACTTTTTAATTCGCGTTTCATTAAAACAGACATCGAGCTCAGTTGGAAGTTAATTTGTTGAATTCGCAAATTCAAACTTCGAATGATATATAGCCACCCCAAGGAGGCGGCAGTCCAAATTACACTGACACCCGCCCCAACAGGAAACAATGAAATTATTAACAAACAGCTGCGGGGTAACGAGTTGAGATGGTTCTAATTACGGTGGCCGGGCGCTAATGAATGATTGAACAAAGCGTTAAGTCTATTATCGCAGCAAGAACTTTATTACAACGGTTAATGTACGACGCTTTGTTTAGTGATGTGCTTTGTAAATTCATTATTTGTCGATAAAACCACCGATATGACATAATTATACCATTCTAGTTTGTGATTCTCTTTACCTAATCGTAGTTAATAACACACTTACAGACGTTTCTTATAATGAGTGTAAGAAAAAGTAACAAAATAAACTATATTCAAAGAAATCAATGTAAAGCGCTCTGAATTTTATACCAGACACTACACGAATTAAAACTGAAACTTAAGTCTCAATGCTATCTAAATTGAGAGTGAGCGACGGGCCGCGTCCGCGAAATAATACCAGTACCACTCATCCTGATGAAGGGCCCCCGATGGGCTCGAAACTAGTCGGTGCCACCACCGGACGAATATACGTGAGTGTTTATATATCAGTTCAATGCTATCTGTCTATAATTGCGTGTATTGAATTCATTTATTTGAACACAATTATCTATTTTGTAGTACAAATGTAAAATGTTTCATTTGTTGTAATCTGAAATAATTTATCGAACATTTATAAAACTTATCGATAGATTAAGTACAGCACTAAAGAAGCCGCGAGGCTCCGCCGTGTCTTTATAATTAGATAAAGGGAGGTACAATTAAACTTAACTTGAATAAGCCCAACCTTACTGTCTGGCATTAATTTCTACCTAATTATTTTGTAAATCGTTGCCAATTATGTA